TAGAATTTCACAATTCACTGCATTGTTGTAATGTAATGTGTATTTATAGCGCATTTATCGTGTAAATACACGCAAACCCTGCTGAAAAATCCAGCTTAAACCAGCCTAGGCTGGTTTAAGCTGGATTTTTCAGCAGGGGAGCGCTTTACAATCATAAGGGGGGTCTCTTCACACCACCACCAGTCCAGCATCCACTTGTTAATATTGTATTGTTAATATTGACCAAAGAAAAGCAATCTTAGTGAACAAGCAGTATTGCATAGTAAGTATGGAGTCAATATGGAGCATCAGGGTTTGCCAAACTGAATCTTTAGAGTCTGTCATAATTAACTAACCTTCATGTCATTCTAAATTAATCTGAGTTTCTGTTGTTGTTGTTGTTGTTTAGGTCTGTGGCTAATGCAGAAACTGAAGAAGTCCGGCTCTCTGCTGCAGCTCACGTTCAGAGATCACACCGACCCGCGACAGACCTTCCTCTACACGCTCAGCAAAAAACCAGGTACAGGCACGTGGATAAATAAGCAAGGGTGAACACAATCACACATACACAAACATCCATGTTTTCTTACTGTCTTTGTCCAGGTCTGCAGTTCTTCAAGAATGTGGTCTTGGTGGCCTCACCACAGGACAGATATGTGCCCTTTCACTCGGCCCGAATTGAGATGTGCCGGACAGCCCTTAAAGACAGAACCACAGGTCTGTTAGCTCCCTCATAGCAACCTCAGAACAGAAACACCCTGGCGATGTTTTGAAAACCACTCAAATGACCACATATTATTCTTTAAAAATGTTATAACATGGCAACAGCATACTAATGCTTTAGCAACACAGCAACCAAGAGGAACACCCAGACAATGTACTATAAACACTCAAACAACAATACCTTTGCCCTATCAAATAACTAGCAAGCACTAAGCAACACCCTAGCAACCAAATGAAATTGGCTGATCTGTCGCTTTAACTAATCTTTTAGCATTTACATTTAAAATTAAAAACATCAGAGTAACTAGCAGGCATGTCCTGTAGCATTCTAGCAATCCATTAGGACAATCTAGACAACACCGCAACACCCTAGCAACCAAATGGAATATTGTATGATGACTTGCTTTAATAATTATATTTCCAAATGGGGGTTCAATCTGCTGATGTTACCCATTATAAAAAAAGGAAATAAGTGAGTGTTTTACATTTTACATCTAAATTTAGAATTAGCATAGCAACTCCAGATTAACAAACATATGAACATTCCTGAGCGACTAACTGTACCATCATGGCATCGGTTGTTTTAACTGGCAACACCCTTAGCAACCAAATGGGATTCCCTAAGATCAGTTCGTCAGCTTTTCTTTACCCCAGCAACCACAACAACATCAAAAACAGCCTAGCAATAAAAAATAATGGTCTAGCAACTAGCATCTAAGACAGTTAAGGATATATAATGCAGCACCTTAGCAACCAACCTGAAAAACCAAGAATTGATTGCTTCAATTTCTGTTATATGTTTTATATTTACAATTATAAACAGCCTGGTAACACAGTAAAACTCACAGCTTTAACAACATAGCAACACCCTAGCAACCAATTGTAATGCCCTGGCAACATGCTGAAACCAACACAACAACCACATAGCAACACTCAAGCAACTTGCTAAAACAAACCCTTTGACCTCATAGCAACATCCTTACAAAATGGCAACCAATTATAATGCTCTGGCAACATGCTGAAACCAACACAACAACCACATAGCAACACTCAAGCAACGTGCTAAAACAAACCCTTTGACCTCATAGCAACAGTCTTACAAATAGCAACCAAATGTAATACCCTGGCAACTAAGACAGCCTAGGTTGCATAACGCAGCACCTTAGCAACCAACTGGAAAAATCTAGAATTGATTGCTTCAAAGTCTGTTAACGTTGTATATTTACTAGGGATGTAACGGTATCAGAATTTCACGGTACGGTAATACCTCGGTATGAATGTCACGGTACGGTATTTATTGAATCATTTACAGGAAAAAACAAAACTTATGAAAATACTCCAAAAAAGTGCCAAAAGTGTCAATGACATACAAATTAGCCATCTATCTGTAAGCTTTGAAACAGGAACTTCAATTTTAATAACAAAAAACTATTAAACCATGTAAAAAAATAAAGTTTCAATTTAGTATTGTTGAAAACTCATCACATTCAACATTTAATCACACTCAGCCCATCTACCCAGATGAGAGCTCTGCTAGTCGGACTTCTCATCAAGCATCTCCCGCTGGATCTAATCTCACTATATTTATTAAACGGGATATTTCATTTATCTTGTTGTCTTTATCTAACGACATATTCCCTGACTTTGGTCACTGGAATCTATTACTTGTTCTCAGGTAACGTGTTTTGGCTGAGCGCAAAGATAAGTTAATGATTAATGTAACCACTTACATTCTGTATATTGACTGATCGCTTGCCTTTATTTCCTATAATGTATAAACTTATTGTATGTTATACTTTTAAAATGGCCATTATCGATTCTTAAAACTGATACTCAGCAAAAGAGAGGGTGTGTTTCGTATTTTTACTGAAATTGAAAGGAGGCAGTTGTTATCGGCTCCGTTTTGTTATAAATATCCACACAGTGAAGATGACGCTCATCTTATGCAGCACGGCGCCTCAACATTTCTGCTGTCTAAGTTGCTAATATTAAAATGAAAATAGGCAGTTCCTTAAATCATGTTTACATTTTATTGTTGAGAAAGTGAAACAACGAAGCCAGGGTGATGTGAATGAAGTTATAAAGTACATGGTTCCCTTTGAAGATTTACCCGTGTCCTCGGTATAGTCTGCTTTTCCATATCAAACTGAGAAGAAGAGACTGCAGCCTTGATCAAACTTGCGAAGTCTGAACTTACACGGAGATAATGCAGGACTGAACTGTGCGTGTAAAGCAGGTCGCACACCAGAAGCGACGCTCGGCGGCGCGCCGCGCAGCGCCGCGCAGCGCCACGTATTTTAGAATTCTAATCATAGGTTTCTATCAGGATACACACACCGGCGGCTGTCGGCGGCGCCGGCTCAGGACGCAGTTCATTTTTCAGCCGCGCCACAGAGCGCCATCTGATTAGTTTCATGTTAAATATCATTCGAATGTGCGCGTCTGGTGTGCGATACTTTAATCTGTCATGTACGCGCCGTGTCGCGGCGCCGAGCGGCGCTTCTGGTGTGCGACCTGCTTTAGAGTTTTCCAGCTCTTTTCATCCCCGCTTCTAGCAGCACACTCCATTTCCGCATTACTGGATCTGTAGCAACAACAGACCGCAAGGGATGATGGTCAAGCATGGGCTGATGGCAATTGTAGTTTTCGTTACCTCCCGTTCGCTTCATTCGCCTGAGCAAATTTTCTCAGAAGACCTATAGTTTTACCGAGTCATGCGACTTCGGTAATATCGAAAAAAATTAATATTGCGGTATGACGGTATTTACAATACCGTTACATCCCTAATATTTACAATTAATAACAGCCTGGTAACATAGTGGAAGCCACACCTATTACAACAACTAAGACAGCCTAGGTTGCATAACGTAGCACCTTAGCAACCAACTGGAAAAATCTAGAATCGATTGCTTCAATTTCTGTTAATGTTTTATATTTACAATTATGAACAGCCTGGTAACAGCGAAAGCCACACCTATTACAACGTAACAACACCCTAGCAACCAATTACAATGCCCTGGCAACATGCTGAAACCAACACAACAACCACATAGCAACATTCAACCAACGTGCTGAAACAAACCCTTTGACCACATAGCAACACCCTTACAAATAGCAACCAAATGTAATACCCTGGAAACTAAGACAGCCTAGGTTGCATAACGCAGCACCTTGGTAACCAACTGGAAAAACCCAGAATCAATTGCTTTAATTTCTGTTAACATTTTATATTTACAATTATAAACAGCCTGGTTCCCCCCCCAACCCCCCCCCCCCGCTATTCACTTTCATTCGCAAGCAATCCCCACACCCCCACTTCTTAAGTTTTGTCTGCAAACCCCCACTCTTCACTTCAGTCCACGACTCCACCTCCCCACCCTCTGCTATTCACTATCGTTCACAAACACACCAACCTGGTCTTTACTTTTGTTAGCTACAGCCCC